TGCGCCAAGCTCGGCGAGCAGATCAACTGCCATCCGATCAGCCACCAGTGAAGTCTACCTTCTTTCTCTTTCACATACTTTTTCTTCTTCTTCCCACCCCCATTCCCAACTCTATCCTTGTGGGTCCAACACTTAAGAATGATGATTCCATTCGTGATGCATCGGTTTTGGGTGCAGCATCTGCTCGTCACATGGCGCCGACATCCTCAGGTATCTCCGAATCAATCTTCGAGCCTAGACACTCAGTCTGTCTGGCCGCTTTCAATGTCCGTACTCTTAAGCAAGCAGGACAACAAGCCACTCTTGCACTCATACTGGGCTCGCTTGGCATTGGTGTGTGCAGTGTCTCAGAAACGAGGATTCAATATGCAAGCATAGTGATTAAGCTAGCTGCCCCATCAGTATTCACTCGCTTCCGGCTGCGCACTTCTGGTAGTAGAGAGGCTGCTGCGGCGGGATGTGCAGGGATTAGTATCGTGCTAAGTCACAGGGCGGAAGTATTCTTACTTGACTGGAAACCCGTTGATAGTCGAATCCATGCGGTTCGTCTGGCAACTTTTCTGGAAGAGTCTCACAAACCGGAAGTTGCTCACTGTCTGTTACTCGTGTCTGTTTTCGCCCCAACTGATTGTAGCTTGGCGTCGTCAAAGACGGGTTTTACGACACCATGAATGCTCTGTTGCGGCCGGCCACGAACTCAACTCGATCATGTTGCCACCAGTTGCCGATGGCGTGGATTATTAACTGGCCACCGGTCGTTTTGTAACACATTTATGGATTCCGACCACGCATTCTTCCGGAGTCGGTTCTTCCTTCGTTTTCCAGGACCGAGTAAGGTGCTAGCATATCGCTTGGCAACTGAAAGACTGACAGATCCGGATGTTAGCCGAATTTACCAGAATCATCTAGCGTCTTGCGAATGCTCCACCGTCGGATGTGGACTCATACTGGGATGAGATTGCCACCTTTTTGCACAGTGTTGGGAGTTTTGCCTGTAACATGGGACTACCAGACCCACCCAAGCACCGGATATCAGACCGAACAGTGGCACTGCTTAAATCTGGGAGAAAGATCTCAGCCATTCCCGGGCGGAACTTGGTGCGACGGATTATCAGATGTCAAGCGAAAGTGAGTATGAGAGCCCATCGTGAAGTCTGGTGGACACAGAACGCCAAGGAAATAGAAGAGTTCAAGAAAGCTAGTAATGTCCGAAGGTTACTCCACTTGTTCTGCGCGACCGGTTCTCGTAAACCTGTGAGCGAAGCCATCAAGGATCAGAATAGAGTGACCATCTTGAGTAAAGAAGAACTCGACAGGTGGGCTGAATATTTAGAACTACAGTTATCGTGGCCACCAGCTGCCACTCATCTGGGAGCCCCATTTGACGTAGAACTCTGGATGGTGAACGTGGAGCCCCTACGGCCTCGGAGGTTTATCACTGCATATGTTCTTTCAAGCGCCACCGAGCTTCTGGTCCGCATGAACTCCCACCTGCATCGTTCAAAAATGGGGGTGAAATCCTCAGCCAGCGCTTGTCTGATTTGTTTGCTTGCATTTAGGAAAAGGAGACTGCCCCAGCTAAGTGAGGAGAGTCGGCGATATTGCTCGTATGAGTGTGGTAACTACAGAGAGATCGACTTAACCCCAGTTGTAACGAGACTGCTGGCGTCATTTGTATTTCGTCGCTTTACGGTGGCTCGCGAAACACTGAGTCAAAGGCGGCAGGCGGGATTCTGGCCTGATGGGTGTTGCGTGGACCAAATTTTCACATTCATTCAGGTGCTAGAACAGCGCCATGCGAACAAACGACCCACCCCAACGTCATCGACAACATGACATCAGTGTTCAACATCGATGCTTCACTGCCTTACAACCATGATTTATTTGAAAGCCTTATTGTAAAGAAAAGGGTAAAGGTGAATGGGAAAGGGACTTAGTGCTAGCTTACCACAGTCACTTCGAGGTGTTTATACCTCCAGGCGTTCACCCAGACGATCTGGATAGAAACTGACAACAAGGCCACTGAAATCCGTTGACAGCCATATCTTGCAGTTACAGTTTATTGGACAGGGAAGCAAAACTCTCATATGTATCTTTTCCATAAAAACTGAGTATCCGCCTAGTTCTCGAACGCATCTTCCTGAACTTTATTGGATACTCATTGACTGTCACTCAAATGTAAACGAATGCTACAGGGCAATTCCACAAACTCCGTAATAAATCTCACTTTTCAATGGGCGCGATGCGGATTTACGAGAAACCATATTACTCGCATGCCTCCTCGGTAGTATACACCGTTACACACCTTCCTCTAAAGGTCGTTTTCATGCCACCGATTCTCATTTACTTCCGTTAGGTCGGCTCCAGAAGCTGGTCTATTCGGCCTGCTTTTCGGGTGTATCATCCCACTTACGAAGCTGAGCCGCATTTACTCTTTTCGATCCCCGACCGTCTTGAATTGTATAGACGTTCCCTCCGGTGGTCGGTAACGACAAACGGACCTTGCCGTCGGCTGCCTAGCTTTCGCGATCCCAGTCCACTTCTTCAGGATTCTGATGATCCTTTCACTTGACATTCGCGCCTATGGGGAATGGTCGAGTCTTTCTACTTGCCGTTTTCTGCCTAGTCCTTACCTGACTGGCTGTCAAGTTTTCTCGAGCTTTACTCCATTCTTCCTCTAGTTCCTCCGGAGACAAGCGTGTTGCCGGTCACCACCCAACTTTCTGATCAACCGGAAGGCGCGGATGTCGACCGTAAATCAGCATGAACGGAGACTCACCTGTGGTTGGCTGCACGTGCTGCACGGACTTGTCGCCTAGGCGTATTGAGTGCATTGACAACCCGTGAATTTTCAGTCGATATCCACCCACTGCTCTCACGGCTAGCGCGCACGGTCTGCATTCAGCTTGGCTCCCTCTCCGCCTCAGAGATACTCCCGCTCCTATATCAATCAAGCACACCTCCCTCTTCCCGTCTATCTCGATAACAACCTGTATGGTAGCCTGGGTTACTGCGCTAATCGTGACCCACCCAGGAAATGAGGAGTAATCCGAATTTTTCATTATGTACAGGTGTTCTGGTACGAGGGTGTTGATTCTTCCAATGACCAGGCATACCGCACTTGTAGCCTCGGATCGTTCGAACGTGTCTTCGCGATTCCATCTTTATGGCTGCAAGCTGTTCGGCAAGTTAGTCCACTCTGGTCTGCAGTTCGTCCACTGGTGAACCATCCCTCTTCTTCTGCGACTGCAACGTGGCCAGTGGTGCCTCGGCCAATTCCCGTGCCAGGTGTTCCACACTCCTCTGGCCAATTACTCTCGCCAACCGCAACTGGGCACCAAGCGCGGGCTGCACTCCTTCGACGAACTGGTCAGACAGCAACTGCTGGCGCTAAACTACGTCCAGTGCCAGCAAAGCCCGATCCAACGACTGCTGCAGGCTGGCGAAGAACACGGTCGGGTCACGTCCATGTGCCATCCTGACTGTCTTGAGCCGCCTCATAGCATCCCGGCGGTCGGCCGGCGTGTGAACTTCGCTGCAAGGGCTTCTTCGTGGTGGCCAATTCCCTCGTCCGGGGGCCCCTTCTGGTCGCATCCAGAGCCGCCTTCGTCCGGCCCCCTGAGGAGGGTCTTTATCGCTACCAACTTACCCCAGCCGGTCTTCAGTCCAGCAGCCTCCGCGACCTCCTCCAGGAAGGTCCGAACATTCCCATCCTCAAAGGGTTGTGGACATGGGATCTTCATCCTTATTCTGGTCACGGCATCAAATAAAAGGAAGAATGCCTTCGCTGTGGAGTTATTTATTGGAAAACACCAACTGAACAGCTACAGACTATTGGACGGGGAACGAAAACTCTCATATGCATCTTGTGCATAGAAACTGAGTATCCAACTTGTTTTTGAACTTTTATGGATACGCATTGACTGTCATTCAAATGTAAACGAATGATGGAAAGCAATTCCACAAATTCCGTTATAAATCTCACTTTTCAATGGGTGCGAAGTGGATTTACGAGAAAACATACTACTCGCATACCTCCCCAGTAGTATCCACCGTTACACCAGTAGCCTGTTTTCGCTTACCTGCCCAACCGTATGCAGGAAGTAAGAAGTCCCGGCTGGTCCCACCACGTGGCGACCGATGTGGGGTGAGATTATTTTGAGTTTTATGTATCATGGTCGTACATGGGCTGGGATACTACCACGGTGCCCACACCTAGACGGGAGGACGATTAGGGTCTTCAACCAAAGCCTTTGGTTCAAAGACCTGACCGCAAAGCAATGGTGTTTGGCGGGGAATGCAGGTGCATTACCATTTTTAAAGGACAGGTTGCCACAATTGTCCCATCTCCAGCCTGTGTTCATAAGGTCTCTAACCATTGACCAACCCGATATGAGAGACTTTTCGAGTGTCGTCGCATGGACACCACACAGTATACCCCAGTGGGTCACGGATGCACGCAACCGTCACATCACGGAAAGATCCGGTCTACTTGTGACGGTTGCAATGGTGTTTTGCGTTAAACATCCGTTTGCGTTGTCTCCTATCCCACGTGCACTGTGCGGAATCAGTAGCTTCTACCTCCAAAGCGTACAGGCATACATTTAGTGCGCTTCCTATCCATAAAAGATTCGGGTAGCTGATTACGAGTTAAGTGTCCTGGGTGGTATTTCCAGGACCGCCACAGTTCGGAATATCCGTAATCATATAAGCACGGGCGTTTGGTTTTGAGCAGCACGTAAAAGACGAATTTTACAGTACCCTGCATGTAGTTTGTATCGAAAACGGAGGTGTAATGTGCTTGTGTACCTGATGACTAGAGCCCGCTTAGTTCATAATAAAGAGCTTTTATCGTCATCAGATTTCTGAGAAATTTCATTTGCCATCGTTCTTTAGATGTATTTTCTTCCGTTGTAGGTGACCTTCGAACGTTCTGGCTTACACATCGTCAAAGTTAACTGGTGATTCGAATGTGAATACGTAGTTGGTGAGTTCTGCTGATGACACATTTCTTGACGGCCAGGGCTGTTCGCTGTTTGGAAATGCAACCAAACACTGTATCTCCGTAAGTCACCTTAGTCCTCTCAATATTTCTGCATTCAGAGAGTACGAAGTTGATAGAAACCCACTTCCGATGTGGTTGCGCTGGATTCGAACATCCCCTGAGCTATTGATTGGTGCTGAGCAAAAGCTGTTAAATAGTTCGTATAGTTCACTTCTCACTTATTATTTTCATTTTTCGTAGGACTAAGAAGCACACTTCAAACTTCTTTCGTACCAATTTTTGGGAACACCTGTTTCATACGCACCTTGGTTGCCCAGAATTTTCCCGATGGACCGCCGCAAGGTGGACGAGCGCGTGTGCCCATGGTTCTTATGCACGGATTTGCTTCCGGCTTAGGTTTGTGGTGTAAAAATATAGACTCCCTGGCTGCCCATCGCCCTGTTTATGCGTTTGATCTTTTGGGATTTGGTCGTAGTTCACGACCGGCCTTCTCAGATGATGCTGCTGAAGCTGAGGCTCAATTTATTAACTCGTTTGAAGAATGGAGAAGTTCTATGGACTTGGAAAAGTTCATTCTAGTTGGCCATAGTCTGGGTGGTTACCTGTCGTACTCGTACGCCATCGCACATCCCAATCGGTAAGTTATCTGTTGGTATTTTCTCATTTCTGGTGCTCACCTCCAGCCTTTATTCGACATCAAAGTGGCTATCATGAGAACACGTTCAGCACCAGTCCTACATTGACATGATAAAGACGAGCAGAGGCGCTGGTGATTGGTATTCAAGTTGCAACCTCCTCTCTACCGAATTACTGCTGAGTTGCGACGGAGGCAGCCTCAGCTCAGACGCCCAAACATATGGAGCAAAAAGTTGAAGTCTGTCTGTGAGATGGATCGCATAATCCAGTCCCTCATCAGTGACTGTTAACTCTGTAGGTTCTCACGTGGATCCTGACAACTTCTGGGAAAATGTTCAGATATCCGCCGAAGAAAAAACTCGATTTAGCTGTAACGGTCTATTAATTTATCGATGAAACATTTCAGTTTTTCTGTCCATGAAATGAGCGTGATGCAGAACATGAAATAATAGTAATACATCGATGACGTTTATCCTCGGATAGCAGGTCAACTCAAGATTACCACGTAGAAAGAGAACTAGAAGATTGTGCACAGACGAAGCCCTGACAATCCTCATTCGCCAGCCGGTCTCATGCATCCAGAGCAAAGATGAACAGACTTTGGATTAGGCACGATCCACCGCATAGATGACTAGTGACCACTTTCAAACGGATAACGCATGCGACCCACTTTCTGTTCATCACTGTGGTACCTGTCTCTCCATCCTCCCAGCAACCGCTCATTAGACAGGGCTCGATAGACAAAAGCTGGTAATAATGCGCATATTGTTCTGACTGTGACGCTGGTCTTACCGTTTACCGTTTTATCTTTTCTGTTCACTAGTTTGTTGTTTGTTTTATGTAAGAGCCACTATAGGATACATGAAAAAGGTCTGTTTGTTCAAATGCCTGTTTCTAATAGATATCCTCGACTATTTCATATGTCACAGTAATATGATTCGGCAATCAGGAACAAAGGATGATTAATTTTACCCTGTAGTAACCAGTTCTGTGCAATTCCAATTTCGACCGGAATATCCTTTGGCGCCCGATAGCGTGTATTGTGATATTCGTGGGGCCATGCTTATTCTAATTGTGGAAGGGCATATGTGTCTGGTAACTACCAGAGAGAGCTTGGTCAGATTTTATGAATCTGAGGTTTCTAGTTTGGGAAGGGAACGCTCATGTAAAAAACGCCTCCGCAACAGCACTGCGCACCGTATAAAAAGTCGCTCAACTTTAGCACCCCTTCAGTGCCTACCACCAGAGGGAAGCACAAGGGCAGGGATAGTGCCAGGTTACCCAAGCCTAGACAGGGGAACTCGTGATACTGCCAGTTACCCAAGCCTAGACAGGGGAACTCGTGAGGCAGAGGTCGGGCTCGAATCACGTACCTTCCGGTCAGCAAGTTCGTGTTCTTATCACAGCCATCTTGCACACTATATCCCAGTTGCACTCCAGTTGAAGTCGGTGAAACTGGAGGTTGTGTTGAATTTACGCATAGTAACCCGTTTTTTGAATTCTCCACAATTTCCACCGATTTTGTTACTCAGTTCGAACGTATCATCGTTGTCATACCCAATGGTAATCTCATAATAATACCAATAACAACTCAGCATGCATTCCAACCACACGCTCCTCGTATGTTGTTAAAATTTTATCCCTTTTCCTGTAAACCAATAGTACCTCGTGTCTACTACTGATAGAATCATTGTGTCAGTACCTCACATTCTGTGTTTTCTTGTCACGGTTAGGTGATTAAGAGTGATTTATATATATATATATATATATATATATATATATATATAACTGACCTCAGTTTAACCTCTTCCTCTACCCACAAACGATCATCAGTTATCCGGTTGTGGTTCTGTATTTTAACTGTATCCAT